AAATTCAAAACAAACAAACAAACACTGTATCATAAGGAAAAAATCGAGAAGTATAAATTTTGACGGAATTTATTATCAAACATAGTTGTAAAATAATTTGTTTGTGGTAGGAATTTGAGTCAAAATTTTACTTTTGTTTATTTCATAGTCTATTACTCATAGTCAAACCGTCATGATTTTGATACTTCGTCATCATTTTCAACATCCTACATTTCAATTGACCAAATTATTGTGTTTCACAAAGTATTTCACATACGATGATGTCATACTTTGTTTGTTTGTTTGTTTTAGAATTTCGCGCAAAGCTACACGAGGGCTATCTACTCTAGATACCATATTAACCATATGCAATATATAGTTTAACATAAGTCACTAAAAACACCATTTATATTTTTTTCTTAGCAATACAGTGTCGTTACGAAATTGACTCTGACGTCAACAATGTTTCACCATAGCTTAACATAATTTTCATACCCAAGAAGCTGTTGGATGTGTACAACATTTGATCATGGGTCTATTCCTGAAGATGCCAAGCCCAGTTACTGGTACAGCTTAAGGCTCGGGAATGGAAGTATTTTGAATTTTAACAAAACTATATGACCTTTCCATCTATGAATGATTGTTTTCATTATTGCAAATATTTGGCTTCATTGCTTGGATATAAATGATATTTCGTTTTGTTTGTTTGTTGTAGTTAATCGCATAACTACACACTGGGCTATCTGTGCTGTGCCTGCCACGGATATCGAAACCTGGATTTTAGCGTTATAAATCCGCGAGGGGGGGGGGGGAGCGTCTCATTTTCAATTTATCAAAAATATTCAGCCATTTGTAAGTTGCAGTAATAAAAACAAATGTCTGCTTAGAAAAAAATCTCCTTTGATTAAAGTTCGAAATTTGCGTTTATGATAATGGTTAACTAAAGGATTCTTTAATATATTATTATAATTATAATATATTTCTTATCATATATATCGCTCACTCATTGCCCTAATAATATCAATTGAATTCAGGCAAAACATCAATATTATTTCTTATAAAAGCAATGGCGAGTACTCTGGGAAACCAGTAAAAAGTTTCAAATTACAACTTACCCAATTTTAACCCTATCTGCACAGGCGTCCTTTACTGCGCATGCCTTGAGGTTTTTAGTGACTTACTTTAAACTACTTTTTATTTATGTTATACCAATTAGTAATGCATAATATCATAGTTAATAATCCATATTTTAATAGTATATAAGATTAAGTTTTATAAGGAAATATTAGAAAAATCATGAATTTTCCCTAGTCTAAGAATGTTATATTTTTTTCTAGGCCTCTCCTCTTCTCTAATTTATTCACCATCCCTCCAATATGTACGAAATTTAACTTAAATTATTCACTATAATATCATAATCGCTCAGATAAAGCATAATTTTCATAGCCTCCAATTTTGTTTGGTTACACGGCCATCAAATAGAAAATCAGACCCGTCTTGCCACACCCACCTGTCACATCCTCTCTTTAAGGATTTGTTAATAGTTATCCCTTACCTTTAATATTATATTATTTATAATCAATAGAAAACCAATATTTTCATCTATCAAATGAAGTATTATATTTCATTGTTTTATGTACAGAAATTGTCAATTTCTCTTTCAGCATAAGCTTCCTTCCTATGGAAAACCTATCGACTAGCTTAGATGTACTTGTAACGGCTCTTATCACACAGTTAGAAAGCAGAAAAAATTGTGATAGTTATGGAACATTGTCTTCTTTTTGGTTGTTGTTATTCTATGCGTTGCTCCATTATTTAATTAAGTAAACATTATTTAGTGAACTACTGCCACTAGTATAAAAAAGGTAGGGTTAAGTGTCATCGATAGTCGACAGCAACAAAAAAAAAAAAAGAAAAAAGAAGGCCCAGGTAAGTACTTTATTTCTTCTTTTTTCATGTGTATTCTTTATTTATTATTATAAATGTAACCAATATGTAAAAATAGGAAACTCTTTGGATTAGGGAAGGTAAGATTAGATAAAATAGATAATAACATTTTATACGAGGACGCACGCGAGCAGATCCGAGATCCCATGGGTAATGTAACTCGATAACGTA